CCCCCCCCCCCCTTCCGCTCCTCTCTACTCGACCGGCAAAGATGATGTGCAAATTCGAGGGTATACACATTAGATGAGTCCGAGAGACAGGTATGTATCCCTTCCCGGCCGCAAGGTGCAAGTCCGAATAGATAATCAACGGGTTCGTCGGGGCCGGTGAATCTCCGTCGACAGGAGGTGAAACAGGTGAAACGGTGATGCCCTCCCGGATGAGACACGTCCCTCTCCTAATCTCCTAAGTTCTCGATGAGATCCAGGCGGTGTCTCGGGTGTGTGTTCGGCGTGAGATTTCGTTTTTTCAGCGCGCGCGATATAATCTGATTTCTGCGCCGCAGATGGAAGGTCCTCCGTTCTTTTTTTTGGTTTCCGGGCAGTCGGCGAGTTAATTGGTGGTCCCGATTCGATCCGTCGTTGATTGTTCAAAGAAACGGTTGTTGTTAGTGCGTTCTTGATGCGCGACGTATCGCCCGTCGACGCGACTGTAAATTAGCGCAACGTGCGATCACACCGAGCTAATTATATTAACTAGCGTAGTCGTCGAAAATGAGTAATGTCCGCCCGGCAAAAAGGTATAATCCATTTGTAAGTGGCCGCAGCGCGTGGACGTGAAATAATGGAAGAGCGAGTAATGGCAAGAACGTCGTTATCCGCGTATCGATCAATGTAGCGTTTATGTTAATCCCATTAATAACATCCTCGCCCTCGCCCGCGGACCAGCTCTCACTTTGTTCCCGGCACCGTAAATTCTCCTCCTCTTCCCCCCTCTCTCTCTCTCTCTCTCTTCCCTTTTCTGCACGTCGTGACGGTGGTTCTTTCGTTCGCGGTGCGGAATTTTACATTGCCGCCGTCTTCACGCTTCTCCGTGGATTTGTATCGACGGTGAGTAGCAAAAAGACGCCGGCTTCAAGGCAGACTTCATTTCTGAGCACCTCCTCGAACGTGCCCTCCTCTCTCTCTCTCTCTCTCTTGTGCACGGTCCAAGATATCATCCGCTAACTACCGCGAAAAATCCGCGCGCTTCATTCGTCAGCGGGACGATGCCGGCCGTTCTCGGGGGAGCGAACGCTTAATTATAACAAATCGCTCGTCGTCGTGAGAGAAAAGCCGTAAATTATTACCATCCGCCCGGCTCCGTCCGCGAAAACAGCAGAGAGAAGCCGCTTTTTCCAGCTCAGGTGTGCGCACGTGCGCGGACGTGCACACACCTAAATGCGACCGAGTCTTCTCCCAGCTGTGTGTGGGACTCGAAATCGCCGATTATCCTGTGCATACTTGCCCGCAGTAACGAAATATCAATCTGTCCCGGCAGTATGTAGATATTCCGCAGCGCTCTTCGGCAAAATCGCGATCGCCGGGTATGATCGAAGCGCGCTCGGAAGAGGTCACGTACGCCGTTCGACATGCTTTACCATCGGCGTTCGAGAGAGAGAGAGAGAGAGAGACGACGACGAAGGCATCGTGGGTGAATCCCCTCGTCTCCCCCCCCCCTCTCTCTTTCTCTCGCGGCTGTTCCGCCGCGGGCACCTCGCCGAGAGAATTTCAACCGGTTCCCATCTTCGCGTTTCCCTTGGCGCCGTCTATTCTTACGCTTCTTCCCGCGCGCTCGACTTCTTTCCCGTGGCGCGCATCATCCTCGCGGAGCCCATCATCTCCGTCCGATGGAATTCTGGTTCACCGGTCGCGGGACCGACCGGCCGGCCCCACGCGCTCCGCGCAGATATCGCGGCGCGTGCGAAGGCTACCACTACCGGCCGCGTCTCAATTAAGCTTTACCGCGTGATTAATGGTACGAGATACGTATCGGCGCGTCCACTCGCAATATCGAGGGGCCGGTGTGTCCGGCTCCGCGGATCACCGGGCTCCGCCGTATTAACGAGTTATCGCATTCCTCGCGAGTGCCGCGCGTCCATTTGCGCGCGCCGCGTCGTCGATCGTTTCGCCGAGATGCGCGTACTTCCCTTCCTCCTTCCTTTTTTCCCCTCCGCCGGGGGTGGGTCGCGAGACCACGATGGTCGTCCGTCCGTCCGTCCGCGATATTCCGTCCGCAATCTTAATGCGCCCGGGACAGCGATATTTCATCCGGATACGCCGCTCGTCGCCTCTTCCTCATCGCCGCCGGCCGGCGAGGCACTTTCTCGGTAGTTGAAATTCCGCTTTATCGCGCCCTATCCTCGCGCCGTATCGACAATGAGCTCCCCCCCCCCCCCC